TAAGTATTGTGCTAATGTTTATGTAGTAAATTAGTAATTACTAATGTTTATAATATAATATCAAACTCAATCAAAAAAGTAATTATTAATTATGTAATGTTATAATTAATTATGTGATCATACTTAATGTAAGTGTATAGTGAATTAAATAATCAGATTATAGATTTAATGTAATATATAATTTATTTAAATTTTAATCATTTAATTAAGTAATGTATAAATAATAATATAGTAATATATATGTTTATAATGTAATGTTATAATTTATACTAATTAAGTATCATTTAACTATGTAATAATATAATTAATTAAGTGATCATAATATAATGTAATGTATAATGTATAATTTAATTAAGTAATATTAACTATAATGTAATTTTAATTAATTAAATTTCTAATCATTTAATTAAGTAATCATTTGTTTATAGTAATGTTATAATTATGTTTATAATATAATGTTATAATCAATTAAATAATCATCTAATTAGTAACGTTATAATTAATTATGTAATCAACTAATCATATTATAATGAAATATTGAAATGTTACAATGAATTAAGTAATCATACTATAAATCTTTAATATAATATTATAATTTGTGTATAATAGAATTTATAATTAATTAGTATCATTAATTATAATGTATGTTACAATTAATTACGTAATCGTATTATAAATTTATAATATAATGTTGTAATTAATTAAATTTCTAATAATTTAATTAAGTAATCATACTATAAATCTTTAATGTAATATTATAATTATTAATTTTTTAATCATTTAATTAAGTTTGTACTAATGTTTATAATAAAATGTTATAAATGAAAGTAATTATACTATAAAACTATAATGTAATGCTATATTAATTAAATATCTAATTATTTAATTAAGTATATACTAAATATATAACTTATAAGTCAATAATTAAGTAGTAATCGATTAATGTAATGCTATAATTAATTACTATAAATCAATTAAGTAATGTTATAAAATTATATTATAAGTAATCATTTAACTATAAGAAGTTATAAACATAATTGATTAAATATGATATTTAATTAGTAATATTAAATATTAATGTTTATCAATCTATCATATATAATTATTATTGCTAATTTCTATAAATATACTTAGAACTTGATAATTGAAGTAAATAACTAAATATATTATTATTCAATCAAATATACTATTTTGTTCAAAAATAGTTCTTTTAACAACATTAAAAATTTAAACACTTTTAATTGGACCATAATTCAATTATTCACTTAATTAATGAAAAATTTATATTAATATATTAAAGTTTTTAATATGGTGTAATTTATATGTAATAAGTATATTGTATTGTATATTTATTTAATTAGGTTATTCTAAAAATTTAATTTTTTCTATTTTAAATTTTTTTATATGTAAAATAATAGAAACTCCATTATTCACATTTCACAAATATATTCATTGCAGTCAGGTTCCAAACAGGTTCCAAAATAGGTTCCAAATGGGACATGTTATAGGTTCCAAACAGGGTACCCTTTTTAGGTTCTTTCCAGGTTCCGGTTTCGGTTTTGGTTCCTCGCACACAAGAACCGGAACCGCATAGTGTCGATTCCAAAAAATTGGAACCGGAACCTACAGCACAGTACCAGTTCGGGTAGGTTCCGGTTCTGGTTTCGGTTCTACCCGCAGGTTCCGGTTCTACCCGTACCCGTGCTCACCCCTAGTTTCATGTAGTGAAAATGATCTTCAAGTACATCCAAACAACAAGTTGGAATTCGCTATAACGAAAATGCAAAAACTTGATTTCCTTTTAGATTGAGAAGAAACGATAGAGAGAAACAAACAAATCAGCCTATATGGAACATTTGAAAAGAATTTCAAATAACAATCCCATATTACTAGGGCTGTTTGGATGGGGAATTAGTAATTGGGATAATTTTTTAATGAGCATATGACGATGTTTGGTTGATTTGTAAAAAATTATTCCCAGAATTTTTTAGACAAACAATGGCATTTGGGGGGAAGTTGCGGGAATATTATTTTTTTTTTTGGGGGGGGGTATGGTAGGTCCAATTTGTGTTCCCGTTGCAAGTGAGCATTTGGTCCAAATAACTTATATTTGTTAAGATTTACAAAACACCCAATTCACTCATGCAAACCCTTTTTTCATCACTTTTTAAATTTTTTGGGCGACATTGCCCTTGGTATTTTCATTATTTACAAAAATGTCATTGTACCCAAAATTGGCCACCACCACTAGCTATCGTTGACCGCATTCGGAGGTTGCCGAAAGTCATCATAATGGCGTAAGGGTTTTGGTTGTTTGCCAAATAGAATATTTAAAATTTTTAAAAACCCAAAACAGTTGGTAAAGATTTTGAACAGATTGTGAACCGTAGGTGATGAGTTCAAGTGAGATAATGTCAAGCCAAACCACAATTGCACAAAACAACTCTCAGGATTTTCAACCAAAGCTATATTCACCATCCACAATCTCGGCTAACCCAACAACTATAACTAAACAACAATACACAATATGAAAATGAAGATAATGGCTAATAGAATCCAAGGCCTAAAGGTTACACCACCAGCCAAGGAGATCCACCACTAACCCTTAGCAAAAGTTGGATAAAGGAGAAGAATACTCTTGAGAGCAACCAAATTTCATTCATCAAGTCTGAGTTTTATATAAGACCTTACAAAAGTTGCCCTAATTATAAAAGATCTAAGCCATCCATGTGGCATAAAGCAACCCTAAGTAATAACAACCATACATTTAGCGGCCTATGGAGATTTTGAAATTCAAAAGCGTTCAAATAACCTAGGAAAATACAAATAATGAATAATATAAAATAAAAGAAGTCAATCCTAAGAGAAATCAAAGAATCGTGTGACTTTTCTCATCGAGTAAGGGACAATGAGCCATCCAACATTTCAACCTTGTCTATGCCAAATCGGGAAAGAGTGTGGCAGCCCCATGTTTTCTTGTCTCCCTTGCATTTAATGCTTCCACATTGCCAAATAATCTTTCCTTTAGACTCTCATTTTGCCGCCCAAACTACCCGGTATCATCCCATGTGATGAGATTAATCCCAAGTAAAGGATTAAAATGCACAAATTGGGCCAGATTTGTCTTGGAGAAACGAACTTCATCTTGGGCTATCTTGCTTCCTTGGGCCGAGACATCACTAAAGGCTTGATTCCCATGGGCCGAGATATCACAAGCTTTATCCCCTTGGGCTGAATTGTTACAAGTGTTCTTAGCATACATGATGGGCTTATTTGCATAAGATTGCTCTTTTGGTTATTTTTTATATTCAAAATAAATTTAAATTTAAAAAAACTAATAATTGGACTTAGTAGTTAGTAGGACTCAAATAATACCAGGCATTAGCAAAAGAAAAATTATGTTCATCAAAGTCACGTACAAATTCAACTTCATGAAGAACAATGAAATTCTCTTTGTTCATTGTTAATTAGGTTGATAGATAAATGAGTTGAACTATTGACACCCTTCAAATGGACTAAGGAAGCCACATTTATTAGGACACCCCATTTCAAAGTTTTATAATTAAATATTTTTCTTTTGGCATCCTATAAATTTCATAGATACCCTTCATTCTATTTTTTTTTTAATATTTTAAAAGAGTAATATTTCATTCTCTTCACTTATGCTATACATCATGATTATTCCTAAAATAAAATTTTAGATAATTAAATTAAAAAGTTTAGAAAAATTAAAGCTAAAAACATTCCTTACAAATAATCCCAAGAACATAATATAGTAAAATAAAAAAAATTAATTAATAAATTTAAATAATTACCAATACTTTATATTGCTTACAATAAATTAATATGTGAAGCAATTAGAAGCTTACAATTTTATATTGCTTATCCTATTACAAATCTTGTTCCTACGTTAAACTATATTTTTGTCCTAAGAATGATTTGAATAACATAAAAAGAAATATAAGGTTTATGAGATATCAGTGGGATGTCAAAAGTATTTGTAAAGAGTAACAATTGAAAGTTAATTTTAATAATTTAATATCAGAGATAAATTTATCATTATAAAATTTATTAAAAAGTGAAATGATTAGTGAGGTGTCAATAGATCCATTCTAGATGAATTCATGAGAAATGATTTTTAGCCTCCACCGTTTTCTTCTTTAGCCCCTATCTTCTACTTTAAGTGTGGGTATAATTGTAATAAAAAATATTTCCTCCATACTTCCATTCAAAGCTTTGAATTTGCAATTAAAAGAAATTTAGAACAATGATAATTCATAATTTCACAAGTTAATGTTTTTTCCTTACATTTTCAAATCTCATATATCTCATGTCCTTCTAAACCAAATACAACTACTATTTGATATTCCTTTGAAGAGTTTTCCATTAGTTTATTTATTCTATTTTGTTTTTTGTTTTGCTAACCTAAGTTATACATTTTAAAGAATGTCATGATTTACTATGTTTAAAGATATCTAAACATGTATAAAAGATATAAAAGATGACGCCAGAAATCACTTTCCAAAATTCATAAATAGGTTACACATACCCAGTTTAAAGCCAATGTATTTTACCCAATTCTTTACGACGTCAACTGAACCCAACCCAAATGCAGAGGATTTTGATGCCATGCCATCCCTATCGGTAATCGTATTACCAAAGCCTATACAGTGAAATTTCAATCGAGTTGGAAATTATAAATTAATCGAGACGAAGGATGCAACAAAGGGTGAAATAGGCTCCTGCAAATGCGATTGTAGTTTGCTTCATATTCTAAAGGAAGTCATTGAGCTTGTCCACACGTATACAACTATACACAGATCCTTTTTGTAATCTACTCATTAAAAAAAATAAAAAAAAAAACACTACAGCAGGAAGAAGATAAGAGGGCTTACTATACTTCTATAGGCCAAATTTTCCTTCACATGGGCAGGATACAACAATTTTATTTACATATACAATCACTTAATGTACACATGGGATGCCATCAACTTATGCCATCAACTTGTTTTTTCATTGGGCCACATACCCATCGCATTACAAGCCTGGAAATTCCCCAAAAAAGGCGCTACGATTTTTGGGCTTCAGGCAAATGAATGATTGTTCCCTAATAAAAGCTTTTTCTCTAAAAATTCCGAGATTCAATGCCAGATTCAGCTTCAGCTAGGTTCGTACCATACTCATCCAGCAAGAAGTCACAAAGTTCTAAAAGCTGATCAGCTAGAGGAGGAATACCAGGGTTGCGCCCATCATTGTAAAGATGGGCATTCATGGCAATTTGCCACACATCATGTCTGAATTCCTCATGGTGCTTGTACTCCATCCTCCTTACCTTATCCCTGATTGTGGACAAGTCCATGGGACGCTCCACGATATCAAGGTAATCAGAAGCCTCTTTCTTGGATACAGGTTTTAGAAAAAGAAACGACACCTCGGTATTTTCTCTGAGTGTCTCCACAATGCGTTCTAATATGTTTGATAAACCGACCTGCAAGTTAAATCGATGAGGAAACTTATAAAAACAAGCCAACATATATATAAGAAGACAAGACATTAAAAAAATTTATACTCTCTGTATCTCTTGTATTCTTAAAACCAGTAAAGAAAAAAAGGCAACCCTACATCTGAAAAATTCATGTTAAAAGTTTTCCTTCACCAATCAACGCAGCTCCTCAAACTTCTCAATTTTCAATACTAAAGAAACTAACAAGGAACTTCTGAGTGAGTGATTATCTACATAACTAGTAAGTTCTATGCTTTTAAAATACACAAAAAATTTCAGTCTACAGGTAATTGTCCCTTGCAATAAAACTCGTAGCTATAGTCATAGGGGAAGTAACCACCACAGTAAGGTCGGACATATTACTACCAGTGGCAATAAAAAAGGAATCTAATAAAACCATAGCTGAAAATGAGATGCCAATTGAATATTTATATCATATGGTTGATCTGATTCACAAGGACCGTGATTGAGAATTATTTGATACATGAAAATTAAAATCTACATGTACGTAAAAAGGTAAGAACAAGCGGAGTACCTCTCCCGCTCTACGCCGCTTTGTTGGAGGCCCTGAATCTGCACCATATTTTCCCAACTCAGAAACAGGTCTTCTCTTTGCACTGCAGTCTCTTTCTGGCATCCGTCTGTCATTTCTTCTTGCCCTGCAGTCCTCTAAATAATCATCTCCTATTTCTGGCTTCTTCTTCTTCTTTTTCTTCTTCTTTGCTTTTTGGCGTTCTTCTTCTTCTCTCTCCCTTCTGATGGATTCTTCATATCTTTTGATTTCAGCAAACCTTTCTCGCTCTTCTTGCACCCTCATTTCTTCCTCATAAAGCCTCTTTGCCCTCTCTTCTCTCAACCTCGCTGCATTTCTCCTCTTCTCTTCCTCTTCCCACCATCTTCTCTCCTCTTTACCTTTCTTTTTTGATGACCCATGAGTCAACTGTGAGCTTTCCTGTTTTCCATGCTTCTCAAAACTTGACAATTCAACTATTTTTTTAGTTTTCCTGTACTCGAAATGAGTTGCTCTATCCCGATTGATTTGGTCCAGGTCAATAATTTCTTTCGGTTGTTTGATAACAATTTTCTTTTGGGGGAGCTCTCTATCTTTCTCTGTAGGTGGACGTATCACAATAGAAGGCCTATGAGATTGAACTTGTTCTCTATCTGTATTAGTTGGGGGTCTAATGACAATAGAGGACTTATGGGAATCTTGTTCTCTGTCAATATTTGTTGGAGGTCGTATGACAATAAAGGGCTTATGCGATTCAACTTGAACTCTTTCTGTATCTGCTGGAGGCCGTATTACAATAGAGGGCTTCTGAATCTCAGCCTGCATTTCTTCAGGTTTTAGCTTATTAGAAATTTTTATTCTATTAACCTTAGCAACAGACTTGTTTGCAGTTCCCACATCAGAAATAACCGGTTGGTCAGAACTTTGCACGGGTGCAAAAGCACGTTTATCTGAAGGCTTATCGGTGGAGCCACATTTGAATTTCACTGGGACAACTTTCGCCTTTGAACTAGATTTCTCATCCTCGGAAGCTTCAACAACTGCAATTTTTGTAGCACTTTTAGATATGAGCTTCTTTTTAAGAATTTTTGGTTGAGACTGACTTTTAGGGTCCAGAGAGTTGGGTTTTGCAGAAGCTTTTTCAGAATCTGCAGTTTCAAGCTGTGTATCTGGATCTGCTCGATACTTGGGGCAGTTTTTGTTGGTCCTCATGTGTCCAAACTGGTTCATCAGAAGGTAAACAATCATCTCGATAACATATTCCAACGAATAAATAAACTCTACGCTAATTTAAAGAAGTCCAACCTGACCACAAGCTCCACAGACGAAACTCTCCCTTGATGACTTCTTCTCCTTAAACATCTATTCAGAATGAGAGCATAAAGATTAGGTCATTTGACCAAAAAAAAGATAAAAAAAAAAAAAAGGAAACTGATTGTCTTCACAGAAAAAATCTTGTAATAAGAGAAAATATACTCCCCAACTTCCAAAACATGCATGTCAAGCAACCAATTGTAACAGTTCTATGGTACACGTAATTTCAAGCATTTAGTTGTTATACCCAAGGGTATTAGGTGACTACCAAAAAAAAAAATCCTGCCTATAATTTCCGCATCTGTATGAAAGACAGTAGAACCATTATTTCATAACTAATATGACAAAAAGTGAACTCAACTCAAATGGTCTTCTTACAAGGTACAATACATCAATGACCTTGATTTTCTTAGGTGGTGAGTGTTTATACATGTAATTTGTTTGTTTTATAAATCAAACACATCTAAATAAAAGTTTATATTGTTTTTTTAATTTAATTGATTATTAATACACTAAAAATATTTCAGACTTCATTTTTTTTCAGATTTCGATAAATATCATTTTTTTTTTTTTACTTTTTTATTCTATATGTTTATGTTTATCACTGAAAGTAAGTGATTAAAATAAAATTAAAAAAAAAAAAAGGAAAAGTTGATCTAATTAGATATAAGTTATGGTGGTAAAAACAAACTACCCCTTAGTCCCCAAATCTGCACTCTCCCACGCGCTGAAAGTTTCTTTTAAAGTATACAGAGGTATACAGTAACAAATAAAGGAAATCTAAGATATTATTGGAGTATATTAAAACACAGGGAAGACAACCTGCTAAACCAGGTTGAAACTATCTTTTCCTATTATATATGTTTGTTAGTCAGGGTAAACTTTTGTAGGTCATCACTGTCTATAACATAACGCAACCAGAGCAGACAAATAAAATGCAGTCTAGCAAAGTTCAGTTCAATGTTTTACTAAATCCTCAATATGTTGTTTGTCATCACAATCTTACCTCATAAGCTACTGGTAAAAGAAAATGATGCAATTTGCTACCATAAACATAAAGACCATCTGTAAATCATGGATTTTGCTACTCTTAAATTTTTAAGTCATGATCTACCAATTCCCATAATTTGACAATACTGTAACCAAAGCACAACCCTAGATAGCTCTTACATGTAGTTTCTAGCAGAACCATGCACCAGTTATTTAACACAAACTTATTGGGTCATAACCGTTCTCCATAAGGATTTTTAAATACTAGAAGCATGCTTGAGTAGCAGATACACCAATATGCCAGTCCCTCGCAACAACTCAGGGACTCTTTTGGGTCATAAGGGACCAGCTAGTATGATAATATGGAATAGAACCAAAAATCCCAACAGGGAGTATTTGCTAAAAAAAAATTAGTAGTTTCCAGTCTCTGTACTCCTATATTCAATTTTATGATCTCCCCCCAACAATCAAAATTTCCAATCAAGGTAAAACACAGAATTATTATAGTTCTACTACAAAGGATAATTTACAAACAATACTGCTAGATGTATAAACAAATCTTACAAACTGATGTAACAAAAAATGAGTAAAAAAGTAAATATAAAAAGTCAAACTCATCATATTCACTTTTCTATTTATTTTTTGCTACATCAGTTTGTACACAAATCTTTGTAAGATTTGTTTGTACATCTAACATTACTTATCTTAAAAATGTATGAAGTGGAGAACAAACATGACATGAGTGCAACATTTGTAGCAGTATTCATATTGTTTAACATGGAGCTCAAATGCCAGGAAAAAAATTACTGATGCTACACTTGCCTTAACATTATCTCCCAATATTTTGAGTTTCTTGAGTTGACCCATTGGTGAAATACCATTTTTTTTCATTGTTTTCATCTTTCCAGACATGGTTCTTTTCATTATTAAACTCTCCTCCTGCCATCAAAATATAATGAAATTACTAGTACTGCCAAAGATACCTTCCTTTGCAGCAAAAAGAAGATTGCAATGAACCTGAGGAACAAATAAATAAATTAAAAGAAAAAATCCATGAAGAAAATTGGTTAACTCACCTCCTTTGGATCTCTAATATTCTCATTTGCAGTAGAGGATCCATTTGGTTGGACTGTACTAATCATGTGCTTGGTTATTTTATTCGGCTTCTTAACCCGTTCCGCCATCTCAAGGCCAGAAATAGATTTTGTGACAGGAGCAACTCCTGCTTCCTCTGCCACAGCTTTTGTTTTCTTCTTCTTTTTCTTCTGATCAGCCTCATCATCTGCAAAACAATTTTATGATTAAGCAGAAAACATTACAGTTATAATATTCTCTCAATAATACAGTCACCAAGTATATAAAGTAATCAGTTAATTGTCCAATTAAACAGAAGCTTCACCCTAGATCATTTAAGAGGGAATGAATTTTATAGACAGGATAGACAAATGGGAAAACCCCATGCTAGCTCCACATATTTGCTTAAGCTTAGGGTCATCATTCAATCAAATAGTTAAAAACTCAGAAGGCTAGAATTTCAATTTTTTTTTTTTTTTTTTTTTTTTAATAGGAAATAATAAAACTATATATGAAGAAGACAAGAATTCCATTCATCATACAATTTTTGCCATTAGCAAATATACAAATACAATTAAGGGCCAAGAACTGCAATGCAGTTCACTTTAGGCGATGTTGTAGAGTTCATTTTCACCTAAACCAGGCCTGTAAAGAAATAGCTTTTATTATATTTCAATAGTCATGCTTAAAGTATATTTAACATGAACACATCTCCACTATTTCCCAAAGTATCGAAATAGTTTCTTACAGGGCAGACTTTGAAAACAAACAGATCTCTTTCTCTCTCTCTCTCTCTCTCTCTCTCTATATATATATATATATATATAGAACCTGTGCAAAATAACCCATCTAAAAAACGGATAAAGTTTTACAAAGAGTATCAAGAACCTGTGCAAAAGAAACCCAAAAAAAGAGAGACACTAGAGCATGAACAAATAAAAATCCAGAATTTAAAACAATATCCACCAATATTTGTTTACTTTAGTCCCAGCCAAATACCTGTATCTGTATATGAATAAATGCTTAGCCCACAAACTTCAATAACCAAATGTTCTTCATAAGTAAAGAGAATAAGCATTTAGAAACCAAATAAATCATACCATCCATGAGCAACCTGCATAATTCAGCGGCTTCGGCTGCTTCATCTTCAATTTCCTCTTCCGCTTGTGCTTGGGATGGACGCCTTCGCATTTTGAGCCCCTTTACACCATCTGCTTTATCATGCTTTGATTCATAGTTATTCTCTTCCCCTTCTTCTTCAAACTCCTCTGCATCAAGTAAATTTTCTAGGTCCCCAGCAAAGGAATCCAGATCACTATTTGCTTCAGAGTCACTTCCATTGTCATCATCATCACCAGCTGAAAGAGATTGAACTTGTCGATCCCAAATTTCTTGACACTTTCCTCTTGTCTGTTGTTGCAGCTGAAGAAAGGACATTCGCTGGCCACGTGCATACTTGCTGATAGTTGTTGGATCAACCTGGACCCCTGATGCAGCTTGCTCACTGGAAAGCTTACGTATCATAGCAATTCGATGCCATCTGGTCTGTTTTGCAATCATTTCCTCTGGAACATTGAACTTGAGAAGAACCTGAAAATAAGTGAGCAGTTAAAGACTATATACACTACAACACTGCCACCATCTTTATTAAGTTCTTAAAATTAATCTCTTCTCCAGCCATTTGCATGGAAGGGAAACTGAGTTGTTCCAGCTGCTATAATATGTCCTTCCACAAGGCTTCTAAGTAAATACTAGTAAAAAATTTAAACCCAAAAACTAATCAGGTTTTATGACACTGATAAATAATTTTTTTAGTAAGAATAACAACACACCTCTCGGGCAGCCTCCATGCTCAATCTACGAAGATCAGCATCTGTTCCAGTGACAGTGGTGCCTCCTCGACTAGCAGCAGCTTTTTTCTTCACCATTGAACTTGACATTGGTGCCTTTGGAGCAGCACGGACATAGCTAAATCCTAGGCCCCGACCAGATGGATCACCAACACCAGTTATTTCCAAACGCTCAATACTTTCTCTGTCCTAAATAAACAATAAGTAATAGATAAATCACAAAATTATACACCTAAATGCGGGCAGACACAAATTTTCATCAATCAGAAAGATAAATTTACCTGGTTTGTACAGGCAACAAAATTGCTACTCAGGTTCCATGGAGTTATCAATAGTTCCCTCTCAATATGTGACGCAGCAGCCAGAGCAATCGCTTCATCAGGGAGTTGACTCATTGCAGACGAGATGCTGGCAGGAAGAGTTAACTGTGTGATTCCTGAATGTTTGAGCCGGTACAGGCCAGCCAGCATACTTTCATAGGAGCAGACCTAAGGCAGAATGGAAAAAGCAGGAGATGGAAAGAAGCATAATGAGTAACCTATGTAAAATCGTAAGCATAAGAAGCACACAACACTTCTAACTGGTTTGCCTCTTTTTCTAAGTTAAATCATAAATCATGATCTCCTTGGCCACTGCTAATTATTTACACAACTGGTTTCAGGATAATAATCAACAAGAAACAGCTTCTCAACGTTTTCCTCAGATATTTGCTAATATATATAAGATACAAGATATGTAGCCAGGGGCTCCCCAATAAAAAAAGATACATTCATGAAAACTAATATTTCTTCCATTTCATCTTCTTTAAAAATTATCATATAATTAGGGTTTCGCCCTGTACTGGATTTGTTACAGCATTAAGCACAAAATAGAATGTATCAATAGTACTCTCAATTTGCTTTGTGCCTTATATTCACAAAATTAAATTCCTCTTTTCATTTTTTTATTTTTTTTCAACTAATAGTTTACTCAAAAGGGCACCTAAAAATGGGGGGAAAGACTTTGAAACATTCAAAAATTGAAAAAAAAATCAATAGGAGGGAACGTGGCGAAAGATAACATACAAACTAAAGGTTCACAATTCTAGAAAGCATAAACATAGCTGGTGCAAATCATACTATGGTAAAATGAGAAGCCAACTGAACTACTACCCTATGCTTCTTCCATCGCTGATCACCCTACTATTTTTCTTCCAAATATACCACCTCAGCTACCTTATAGTTCAAAACCAATCAGCGTAGCATACGATGCATTCAAAACGGGAGAAATAATAAGGAAATTATCTTGAATCAAACTAATCAACAGCTTATAGAAAACTCAGTAAAAATAACATAAAACAAAAATAGAGCGAAATATAGACAGAGAGGCTGATAAACTACTACAGTATCTTCAGAGATCACACTTGCAACTATAGCATGAATGTTACAGATGTTCTGAAGCTTTCCTGGCTGTATAGGAAAGAATTAAGAACTGAGTAAAAAAAAAAAAACAAGAATTGTCCAACAAGAAGCATTAGCAGAGCCTAAAGTCTACCGTTCCAGTTTGAGAAATTAAAGGCAATGCAATAATTAGCCAAAAAGGAGGAACAAATTTCATTTAACACAACTGATGATATTTTACTAATTTAATAATGCCAATAAGAAATTTCCGTAAGACTTTTCTCATCAAGGAATCCTGAAAACTTTTCCATCAATTGTTGAAAATGGAGGAAACATTTCCAACTTCATAGGACTCCACAAAGTAGTCCTATAGTTATCATAGCTAACATCAGCAGAGAAACAAGGGCACCTGACATATACGGAACTCACATGTTCTGGACACACCAATTTACGCAAATCACCCTCAGGTGGAATTTGGAATGTGCGCTTCATGGACCAAACCTGCTTTCCCCTACCATCCCTCTGTAGGTTGCATATGCACATAAAGCCAAAGGTTAGCAGATAAATCCCATAAATTATTATAAGCTAACATAAACAATAATCTATCAAAGCACAAAGACAAATTCAAGCAACTGTAAATTACACAAGTTACCAATACTAATGTAGATATAAATGCAAGATTACCCGCAAAAAAGCACATTCTTTTATCTTCTTCCTAATAATTGCTTCAGACACATTAGGAAACTGTGCCAATAACTCATCCACCCCAATGCAGGGAAGCAAGCCACGCTTTGCAGCAGCAGAAAACTCACGGTACACATATACCAACAACCTATTTATGCTATAACTTTGAAGATTCTTTGATAAAGGTGACATTACCTCCATAAGAGGCTCCTGAAAATGACAATCAACATAAATAGTAATTTTAGTGCCATAAAAGCTTCATTTCTAGACTAAATTTGATAAAGCTGCATACTAAATACCAATAATATTCAATCAATGAAATAAATAAATAAGTTTTTAACAAAATAGAAAAGGTAATCACATAGTACTTCAATTATTGTTTACTGACTCACATATCCCACAGACATTGTTTCAGCTTGAAACAGTTAATGAGAAAAAAAAAATGTAGTATGGAACAATGTATTACAGCAAATAAATTCTCACATAAATAATAAAACAGCGATATCTAATGTGACCCATACCTTCCTGAATATTTTTCAAAGAAAAAGTAAAGAAACACTTATAACGGTATGGGTAGCAAAATTTTAGAGATGTGCACATTCATAGATACAAGTCAATTTATATAACCCACAACCGCATCAAAACTACATGGGGTACCCTACTTCATAAATTTGGTTACATCACAAATTGGTAGAAGAATAACTAAAAGATGAATATCAAATACATAGGGTTTTATTTACAGCTTGACTTAAATTACTTAAAAGAAAATTGCCACCTTAGTAATATATGACAGCAGTTGCTTCTCTGAAATTCTTTGTCTCCTCATTCATCATAATTGGAATGCAGATGTTTATAATTTGAAAAGTGTTTTGTGCCAGTCATTGCGAGCCAGAGGGATCATTTTGGTCTTCCCTTTCAGAGGGCTGCTTAAGAAAGCCTTATTGTTGTTTTAGATAGTCCTAGGCTATTATGATATTGGTATCTTTTTCCTGTTCGACTAAAGAACATCTTGTCTATATGTATATAATGTTTCCCTCCCCCAATTCAGCACTTGCTAACAATTGTTTCAGATGATTTGCAATTATTTATTACTGGAAATTATCTCCAGTTTGATGTTTACCTTGACATAATGTGTTCAAATCAACTGAGAGTTTACCAATTGAGAGGACATGTACCCTGTAACCCTTTACTTTGTTCCTTCATATATATTGTAGACCAAATTGCACACCATGTGATAAAACTTTTCAATCACAATAAAATTTCATGAGGCTATAGTCATACAGAGATATATCCAGAAGACAAAAACTATTACAAACCTGTTGTCCGACAACAGCTATCTTGTCTATGCGTCTTATGGAAATCTTTCCCTTTGCAGACCGGACCAACAAAAAATCAGTTGACGGCACCTTATGGGGAAATACAGGTGCCCTATACATGTTTGTTTCAAGAGAACACTGACTGCAACGAGCTTTTATATCTCCAAGGAAGGGAGATTTATCACCAGGTTCCAGCGTGAGAACATTTCCCAAGCTGTTGTTTCCTTTGCACAATAGGGTGCCAGCTTGATCGCCTGGGGCTGATTTTTGATAATAAGTGCACAGATTTGCTCCCATTCCTGCATTGCTCAGCAGTAAAGGCCTTTCCTCACAATACCTGCAAAGATAAAAATAGCAAAGTTTTCTCTGAAACTCTCTATCCCAGAACAAAGATGGTTTTATCGCATTCCAAACCAAAAGAAAGCTAGCTAGTTGGCAGTGCGATAGTATTACATTCTAGCTGAACAATAAGTCTTCCTCTTTCATCTCTAAACTTCCAGGATATTAATATCAAACAAACATAAGACTCAAGCAATAATTTCCAATGGATATGAAGCAACCATGATTAAATCTGCTCACTATTTGAGTGAAGAATTTTTATTACAATTTGCTGTCTCCTTCCCTTTTAGGGACTTTGTATTTTGAGATGGAAGCAATGGTTGACATAAATAGCTTTCTGAGCTACAAATTGTACCACCAACTTATAATCTCCATCCCTTCAACCAGATTTATTAACTTAATAAAAACCTATCTGGAAGTATACAAATGCAAAAGTAAGAGAGATGCATAAACACAGTTTCCTGAAATATCTAGAAAACAGATACATGTTACTGCCGGGCGCAGCTCTAAACAGCTGCATGGGAAAACAGCACCCATATGCAAGGCTTTTTTGCTTAAGCATTTATCTTGACCATGACATGGTCTTTACACAGGAACCATCCAAAACCCAGTTATAAGAACACAAACCACATATGCACATCTTCTACAAGTGTCTGTCTGGTAAGAGTGTCTCTAAACATATTAGTTACTTTGACCTGTACAACCCTTTAGAAACACAATCCAAATCTTAATATCAAAATTCTTAGTACATTCATGGACCAGATCGTACTAGATTTTTCAGAAAGATTAACTCAAATTTCCTTTGCTAGATTTTAAATATTAAAAAACTAATCAAATAAAAGAGAGATTACAAGCTAAAGAAATAATAGAAAAGAAAATGACCAGGAAAAAAGAAAAGAACAACAAAGTGGCTCATTAGTTATTCCAAACTTGTTAGACAACTAAAATTCCTAGATTCTAACTGTCCAAATTTAAAAGTATTTAGTTTATGCATGTGCCTTTAACCTAATCACAAATGATTTTGGGAAAGTTCCATTGACCTCCTCAGAGTTTTTGGCTAATTACAGGTCAGTCTCTAATGCGAGAAATATCATAGAGCTGTCCTGAAAATTGAAATTCTTATAACCTCCCCTGAAGTTCCATAAGGTTTATAACCTCTCCAGTAAGTTAAGTCCCCACATAAGTTTCAGACATAGAGAGGTCCATCTGTACATAACCATTGTTAGCTATAGAATTTTAATGTGTTTTTATGGATGCACTTAAACATACATAAAGAAACCAACTAAGACTACTTTATCACACTGCATACAAGTTAAGAAAGCTACCAAATTCCTGTACCCACAGCACATAAAAAACTATGAACTGTTTTAGATAAACCATCTTCTAAATCACTGATTCAGCTGTCTCATGCAGGAAGCCACAAATGCATAACATTTCCTCCAGTGAGGTCAACCAATTATTAAGCTTAGTGAAAGATGAATTCTGGAACACTATCTGTAGAATTAAGGAACTACATTTTGTAAAGGTATCTGTGATGAACTCACTTTATGCACCTGTCAAATCAAATACTTAATAGATCTATCAGCCAAGGCTTGACCAAATGCTGACCTTAGTAATGAACCTTGCATCTGAGTTTTGTTGGGTAGTAAACAAATTCATCAAAATGTCATGGCATTCAAAAGAACAAGGGATCAACTACACTCCAAAAATTGATGGAGGAGCACAAGGAAAATGGAGATGGCATAGAAATCGAGGAGATAAATCCAAGAATGAAGAGAGAAATATAGATAACTCAAAGAGAAAACCAATATTCATATTTAATCATCAACCAAACATGTGAAAACTCATAATATAAGTCTCTATTTATAGGCTTGTAAAATAAAATCCTAATCAAATACTAAATAAAGTCTGTAAGAACTCAAAACAAAATGAAACTGTAAGATAACTTTGACAAATCAATCCCTAAGATAAATAAATGAAAATACAAAAAATAACTTCAAACCTATTCTCTAATTCCAACATCACTTCTCCCCCACTAAAAAGATCTCGACTCCCTACAAGTAGGCTGGAGAAGGAGCTTTTTAGCAGGGAAAATGGATGTATGGAAAATAGAATAGGTTCAAGGTCATTTTAGTATTTTATGTATCCAAGGGATTGGTTTGTAAAAGTTATCTTAGAGACTCTATTTTGCATTTGATTACGGTTTTATTTCACTAGCATATAAATAAAGGTTTCTATTACTATTGAACACAAGCATGAATGATAATCAAATATGAATATCGATCTTCTCATGTGTTAGTTATTTCTCTCTTCATTCTTGGATTTCTCCCCCTTTCTTCTCAGCATTTCTCCCCTTTCCTGCTCTTTCTGCTTAATTTTACCCTTCTGTATTCTCTCTATTTCTATATCTTCTCGATTCCTATACTATCCAAATTTTTCTTCTTCAACTCCTCTATGAACCACCCTATAACATTCATCTGCCTTAGGAGTGCATTTCTAAGAACCCAGTTTAAGGTTCCTTTTCTTTTTTTTTTTTTGGCAAAGCTATATACAGTTTCCAATCTAGTGCTTTGCTAACTTTGTATATTATTATTCCTTTCTCTAATCAATTTAGTTGCTTAGTTCCCAGTGTCATCAACTATCCCTAGTTCACCTATCCAACAATACATACTTCATATATATGATAATGGCTGCATGGCAAGAGGTCAGAAAAAGTTTCTAACATGCACAAAAATAGAAACGCACATTAACAAAAAGGAAATGTAAGGAGCACTCTATCAAAGAATACGAGGAGGCAAAGACATAATAAATGCATCATGCATCGCGATAATAAAAATGCATTTAGAAAGCAGATGCGAACAAATGCAATAGGAAGAAATAAGAAAGACAATCCAATGAAAATATTGCCAGGATTTCTGGTACAATAATATGAAAGTTGCTAAAATACTCCACATCAAACCAAGAAAATATTACACTGTCCCTAGGGATGCAAATCAAATAACATATAAAATAACTAACATTTCACCAATGATTCATATCCATTCACAGTTCAATGACAAGATACCAGGAAATTAACTTGCACAATTAAACAACATCAGTTCTGTAAATGGCAGAGGAAAAGCCCATCAAGGGATATGAAGAACAATTAAATAAACAATAACAGATTCAAAAGCAAAATATGGAGTAAAAAAAAAAAAAGATGCCAAAAAGAAAAGATCACTCACTCCATTAAAAAGACATGGCCATCTTTTACAGAGAGATCTGATTTTTTCTTAAAGGCTCCAGGAGGGCGCAAAGACTTATTCTCCCCAGGAAGCTTTTGTGCCCTCGGCAACAAATGTACTTTTGTACGAACAAGATGAAGCAAGGAGTTCGGTCGAACATTTTCGTCCCCAAGAGATTTATGGTCTTCAAGCTCCTTGCCCAAATAAAATAATTTCACTGTTTCTGCTGGCTTGAAATCTATAAAAACAGTAGTAATAATTAAGCTCTCTCCTTCTCGGGAAATTAAAAATCATTAGCCTTCACAATGTAAAATCACCAACTAATTTATGATACCAAACAAATAATCACATATAAAGTGTACAAACACATGCCAAAAAATAATGACAACCTAGCTTCTTTGAAGCCTTTGCTTTAATTGAAGCAACAGTTTCCTCAGTATCCACATGCAGTTTACTTCCTTTGCCTCCTAAGCTCTTTATGATAATCTTCATGGGTCCATGAGTAGGCAACTTCCCTTGTTCTTTGACTGCCACCTCATTGTCATGGGGATACCATAAAGCTTTCGGACGGTGAAAATTAGATATATCCTTACTGTATAACAGTAGGTAAATATCAGTAGCTGTATGATACAGAGTAATAAGTGCAAAATTAACAAGTCATTATCAGAATGAACACCAAGGCAAATAATATGTAAATTATTAAAAAAGGTTTTCCATAAGACTAAGAATATACCAAATCACAGCAAGTTTCAAAAACATAAAAACATCAAAATAACAGGACCCGGGTATCATACTCGTGATGAGAACTTGGTTCAATTTCATAAAAAGAACAATAAAAGTTTCCAATCCAGGGCCAATTAGCAGGCCCATTTAAACATAAAAAGTACCAGGTTTAAGGCATGCCAGTTAAGAAATGTCATATAAGATCAATAAGGGTCACAGCCAAGCACACATTGCCCCTATGGAAAACAGGCTGATCCTCCAAGCACATAAACTAAGATGGTAATGGATCATAGATTAATGAAACTAAATGATTCAGAAGAAAGTTTGGATGGATTGAACCAATAGCCAATAGTTTATTATTGAATAAGACATTAACTTTCATCATTTATGCAACTAATCAAAGGAGCTATAATATCATATTCGTATGAAAGCCATCAACATTAAAAAAAAATGAATGATGGAAGTATAAATTTAGGACTTCCTAAATGTATACTTACATCATTCATTTTTTCACAAGTAAATTAAAAGTTACCACCTCTCCATTTACACAAAATGGAGAGGTATCTAGAGGTAAGCCACCTTATTAGTTCTCCACAAAAAGCGTTTGTCATCAGTTCTCAAATTTGCGAGCTTAAAGAATTTAGGAAATCCTTAATTACTCAGAAAGAGGAACAGCAGTAGTCCAATTTCTTGCCAACCAAAAAGGAGTCCAATTACTAGTTAAGGTATACATTCAAACTAGTTATATTTCTCCCTGACCAGGGAGTTTAAGATTGTCTGAAAAAAATTACAGAAAATAAAAAAGTTGGAAGCATTTTTTCGTTGTTTCAAAGCTATATCTACTAGATATAGCACCACATGAGAAAAAGAGTGCGAGAATATAAGAGATTCAAATATATGAATAAAACAAGCAAGAAAAAAATAAAAGCATTTATCATCTCACACAAGGATAGCAGCATAGCTAGATCACGGATTATTCTTGGTTTCTAGATGTCCACTATACCACATATTTCCATCAATAACTTACAAACATTCTATGCATAAGTAATATTCTTAATTTTCAAAATTTACACAAGACAATGCAAATTCAAGTATATATTCCAGTACCAAATCTCGGAATGCCAGACACCCAATATCTCAAGGAATATAGCATGTTCATAAAGAAACTAGAGAAGTTTGTGGGAAAAGAACCAGTTACAAAAAATTACGAAAAAAAAAAAAATATTGTTTAAAAATATGAAACATCAGTACATTTTCTTCAATTTCTTTCTTGGGAATGTTCATGAGTTAACAGAGAAACTCCTCAATCTTCATTCACTGAGTCCAGTGGTCAGAATCTCATTAATATCCACAGATTCTTATTTCTATGGACAGGATTATTCATCACTGTTCTCCAATGAAATTCAAGAATAAAAATTGACAAAGGATATTTGCTTGAACTAAACAAATCTCAAGTGAGAACAGTTCAACACAGTGCAGGAAACTCCAAAAGCTTTTGAAGTAAAAAACTCATTTAACAGGTCAAGAATATGGCATCTACAGAATAAAATAGACCAATGCAGCAAAAAGAATTGCATCAACAAAAATCTATAAACACACAGTATAATAAAAGAACAGCAGATGATATGGCATTCATCCTTACTTGCTCAACTTCAGTTTCATTGTCTGCAACTTAAGTGCAGGTGCAGAATGATGAACTCTGATACCATGCGGTATGCGTTTATTAGAATTTGTCTGCAGCTGCTGAGATATTTTCCCATTCAAGTAGAATTTGTCATTTGCAATGTTAAATTTCCAGTCACGTTGATACTTATGGCCAGCTAGCTCAAAAGAATCCAAACTGCTTGATTTTACAGATCTAGTTACAATCATAGCCCCAGCATGAAGCTGTAGATCATTATTGTCCTTGTAATCCAGAATCTCAAAACGCATTTGCTCATCTTGAAGATCAAGAATTAGCTTAGGCTTCCCTATAGCATCTTGTGGGTCCCACATAATATTGTTTAACCAAGATCCATCCATCATATCTCTGTTCTGCAACGAAAGTTCGCAAAAGCGCTTTACAGCACCAGTTTGGCAAAGCTCTGGAGGGACATTCTCCCTTCTACGATCTCCATGATTAATATTGTCCTGGTACAACCGAGACTCTAACCTCAAAAGTTGGGGATGGCGTTTGCTTTCTGTAAATCCATTATTTGTATGATCTGATGAATTTCTTGACCCAAAGGACTCCAACAAAACATGATAATTATGCAAACGAATGCTATGATCCTCCTCATCTTTCATAGAGCACTCTGAATGAAGATTATGTTGCCTAGGCTCAAGTTCTAGTTCCCCATTAAGAGAAGTTTCCGAGTCAGTTCCAGTGACATCACAACTCTCAAAAGAATTTTCACTTGCTGCAGGAGAATTATCCCAGAGGATGTCTTCCTCCCAGTTGTGCTGATCGAGAGGGAAAATATTAGGACTCAGCATTGACTGCCATCCTGCAGAAAGATTTGATTTTAAGTCCTTTTTCATGGGTTCTGCACTAAAACAAGAGTCCTTTCTTTGGTCATAAAGTTGTCCAGACATAGGGGTAGCATCTTGCACAAAACCAAATTTTACTGATTCTGAATCATCATTATCATGTGAGGAGTTATCATGTTGAACAGCATGTGCCTGTTTGATAAATGAAACAACTTGACTTGAGCCCTTTAAATATGTCTCTTCATCCTCTTCAACAAGATCGGAAATATCCAAAGCACTGTATTTGTCTGGAATGATCAAGGGAAGGAATGGCATACCAGATAATTAATACAGGAAGTAACTGAAAGAAAATAACTGCAACTTCAACAGATGATTAAGGCCTGGAAACTTATAGTAAGGAAATAAGACTGCATACCTTTATGAAAGGAATATCTTTGTTCTCTTTTCTCCTGTTTCTTCAAAGGTTTATGTATACCAAATATTTCAGAGAACCGTAAGATAACCATACCATCTTCTACACACAAAACTGGCAGTGGTGCAGAACCTTGGCCATCCAAAGGCCCTTCTAAAATATCAACCACGTCGTCCTGCTAGTTTTTATTATTAACAAAATGAAAAACTTAATTGCATCAATAAACTGGTATGTAGAATGTCTTAAGAAAAGTTATCCTACCAATTTACCATCTTATAACAATGCATGGCATACATAATATTATCAATAAAATTTGAAATCAATTAAATGAACCATCGACGTATCAATTCATGATAAGCTGTGACAGTATATTTATAAAATTGACCATTTCTTACGATACTGGAGATAGCAAGATATGCAAAAAAGAGATTACATGAATTACTGCTCTCGATACCAAACAAACTAACATCTAGATATATGGTAGGAGTAGACATCTACAGCCACCACTCAGTTAACTATGGGTGTGTATGAAACATCAGTGCTGGATAATGCAAATCTTGACAAGAAGATTTTGCCAATTATAGCTTTGCTCTAAGCCATTACCATCATGATACTCAACCTCATTGCCCAATAATATTTCTCTATTACCATAATAAAAAACAATTATAGCAGTATAAAATTTAAAATAATCATTCTTAATCTGTCAGCACTTGATTTATGTACTCCATTCCAGAGATATATACTATCATCATCAATGGGGTCAAAATATAATATCAAACATCTAAATAAAACGCAGTGGCATCATGCTATACACAAATTAGAAAGCCACTGCTTAGGAAATAATTAATTTCACTATTCGTCAATATCCAACCAGGCAGTCACTGTTCCTCACGAACATGGGACTGTACATCAATATCCTACTTCCTTTCATGCTTTACCCCAAAAAAGTGGGACAGTAAACATAAGATTTCCAATTTCAACTTAAAGATTTGTCAAGACATGTCCCACACTTTAATATAAAAAAGTAGCAAAGGAAAAAATTAAATAAAAATAATTAGAGGGAAACACATAGCTAACCGACCTCGTAATGATCTTCTACCCCAACTACCATATCTTCTTCAGTACCCAAAGATCCAACTTGTAGATCATCCTCAGGAGATTTTTCTCCTTCTGGAACTGCTTTAACACACTCATCCTGCTCACCTGAAAGGGTGATCCTGAACTTTGTCAAAATCAAACTAGCAAGATAAAAAAGTTTTCATGGTAAAACAGTAAGTGTTCTAAAAGTAATGATTACTAAATATTCAAAAAACATGGAACCATGATCTGCACAGAAAATTCAAGGCCAAAACTTTTGCCAGTTTGTTCCCCTCTCTTCTGCTCCCCACAGGTTCAAATTCTTATTCAACTTAAGTGAACTTACTTAAGTACATTATTTATAAATATTTAAATAATATAACAACTTTTAAGAAATAAAAAGCAAGCAGCAAGCATATTTGAAAAATGTGATGTGGAAATCACTTTAAACATTCGGCAATCTAACAACCTAACCAGCCAACCAATGATTCTAGTATGCAAGTAAATAAGTTATATTGGTTGAACCTACTGCCATATAGCAATCCCCTATCTTAAAATCTAGTGTAAGGATGAAAATTTTGTTGAGTCATTTCACACCCAAGCATACCAATCTGAACAATATTAGGTTCAAGAAAAGATGAATGGCATTCATTTCAGACCCAAATAAACCAGGTATCCCGACTTCAATGCAATACAAAGGGTTGAGCAATTTGACAAGTCAACCAGTCTGTTCAAGCAGTGTGTGTGAAATATATAATCATAGTGTATAAATAATGATCTTTGTTGAATTACGCTAAGAGATTTGAAGATTAGTGAATGTACTAAACATTTCATACTGCATTTGCGACCCACTCAAACTAACATATAATGGGATCACTGGGTGACTGTGGAAGTCAATCACTTCATAGAAAGATACAGCACTTGAAAACAGAAGTTGTTTATCTGAACTGATAATCTAAATAGACCTACTTTATATAGCTAACCTAGTCTGTTCAAGTTGTGTATGAAAATATATAATACCAATTATGATCTCCGTACAATTCAGTTAGGATATTTGAAGATGATTGTATGTGCAAACTATTATAACCCGTGTTTTGCAACCACCTAGAAACTAGCATATAGCACTAACAGAGTTGGTTGGCTCAACAGATAATCTAACCAAACCAAACCTACTTTAAACAGGTGTTTAATATGGAAGTAAAACATTTTCGCCAAAAAATACAACAAATCATTCCAAATGCCATTCAAAAGGTCAATGCCACAAAAAAATAAAATAATAATAATTAAATAATTTAAAAATAATAAAAATTCAGCGTCAATGTACTGCATTAATAATAATGACGACCAGCAACAAAAATTCATAATGATAATTAGTATGTAAGTGAACACTGTGAGACTACAGAAGTTAAAAGATCAATAATATACCATAAATTTTTAAGACAGGATAACATATGCCAAAAATTTTATGAGGTGTTTATCAAGAAAAAATCTAATATCAGACCACTATAACACAATAAAAGCCCCCCAACCAACAAACTGAAGATGTGGAGCCAAAATTTATTTGATCCCATCTTAAACCTGATAGTGATATAGTTTTCTTTTTTATTAATAAACAAGAATTTTTTATTAACCAGTATATACATCAAATTCTAGCAGTCCACCAAAAAAATAAACAAGGAAGATATCAATTAACCTGACAAAGATATGGTAGAAACTTCAGTTTCTTTATCCACCACCTCCTGTTCATTTTCAACTTCATCATCCTCGTCATAATTTTCATCATCAAACAGAGAAGTTGTAGGTTTCAAAGTAGCCAGAGAAACTTCCGCAGAAAAGTATTCCTTTTTCGGTAACAAGTGGTCCTCCTCAGTGACAACTTGAGTCTCTGGTCCATCGTACTGCTCATCAATATCTTCATAATCAATGGCATCTTCAGCTTTCTCATCATAATCTAGCAGTAGAGACCCAAATTTAACTTGTAATCAGAATATTTGGCCACATGCATGCAGCACTTTAAAGCTTTGAATCAATGTGAAGTTCAATAACACAGTTTAGTAACCTAAAAGCTAATTACCTCATCTCTCCAGCCAAAAAAATATCAGACGTGTAATTGTAAGGATAGAATTAATTTTTTAACTGATAAGTAAATAAAAGAAGCAAGGATTACCAGTAGAAGGCAGAAGAAACATGGATAGAATTACAGTCAAAATGGGGCAAGGAAAATAGCAGTAATCAGGGAAAGCTTCCTCATACAGACCTAAAGGCTGGAATAATACAATTACATAGTAGTTGAACATCTCAATATCACCTTTAACCCTCAATTAAAAATTGTGATCCCATAGTCCTTCAACCCTTTGGTTAAGACTACGGTTTCTTGATTGTAGGTGATGGACCAAAGAATGAACCTCAAGTTTTCTCCAGCAGACTAAAATGGAATGGAAATGGGCATTACCAGTGTTATTAAGACTCTCATCATCTCGCTCCTTTCTGGCCTATTTTGGCATTTGTAATGCCATGCTTAATTAAATAGACGGTAATTCTGTTTACAGAAGCCCTTGGTATCAACTAAAAGGTTTGTGGTTCAAATCCCTATTGGGTCACCTAATTAGCATATTATATTTCATAAGTTTCTTACTACCAAGATTGTAGGGTCCTAAAGCAATCCCTAGTTTGGAACTTGTGAACATATAAGGAAGGTTGAGGGATTTATATATATATATATATAAAGCCAACTTCAGCCCCTCCCAAAAACCAATGCTTTACCAAAAAGAAAGTAATTCTGCAGACAGAAGTTAGCTCCAGCCCCTCCCATAAGAGGCTAGAATTGCTCCACATGTAGTGCTTGCAAAATGCAACATGCCAAGACTTAATTTTGTTGATTATATACTTCATAAAGAACATGAGTATACAACTTGCCCTCTTAAGTGCTCTAAGAATTTCACCACCACGACAATATTTCTCTCACTCTTTGGATTCATCTTTAGACCCTGGTGTTTTAATGTTTTCCTTAAACAATGTCCACATAAAATTGTTCTAAAAACAGATGGCTCATCTTTTAAACATCAACACCAATGCATAAGGTTACATGTAATGAAAAACTATGCAAAAATTTTTATTGCTTAGTAAAACTTCCCATGCGTATCACATAATGTCATACCAATAAACATAACTGCAACCGTGCTGAGATCCAAGTCATTCTAGCACAATAGGCCATTACAATAATAAAAGAAAGGAAATGCTAGTTTGACTTGAATTTCTTTTATATAGGTAATAAGCACCTGAGTCACTGATCACTTAACAGAATAAAACCGAATAAAATCATTAGCAGAAAAGTGACCACCCTGAGGATATCCAAATAAAAGTAGTCTTTGCATTTACTGAACTCTGATCATCAAGTGATACAAGGCACAATAAGCAACAACCACTAAATGTGTTTTGAAATTATTAAATGTAGAAAATAATAAAGAAAAAAAAGCTAGTTAGTGGTGGAAACAAAGATACTGACAGAACATCAAACACTGCATGAGAGAGAATTTCCTGGCAGACAACATCACCTTGATCAGCAGGATCAACTGGCGCTTGAGGTGAACCTACTGACAGCTGAAAATTAAACAACCTCGTTAAGTGTTGCATCATTAAACAAAAACAAACAATAACAAAAACAAACCAAAGACATCTATTAAAAGTTTTGCTGTAGAATATAGAGAACAATAAATCCAAAACACAATATTAAGATTTTCATACATCTATATCTGTGAGAGATGAACCCAGCTTGTCAGCCAGTGCAGCAAGATGCTCCTTTGCATCCTGTAAAGGTAATTGTATTCTAAGAATTAGTGCAATCATACAGATAAAAAAAAAATCAAATGTGAAAGAAACACTGGATCCAAATTTGTAATAAATATACCCCCACCAGCAACTTGAAAGGCCTAAATGATGAGTGAGTGTGTCATATGTATATCAAAGTTTGTATATGTTAAAGTTATTATCACCATTTAACTCTGCATATCATGAAAAAATGCATATAAGGAAAGGATAAAAATCACCTCATCAAGGTAATCAACATCAAGATCACCCGAATTGTCAACATTGCCAAACATAAATCCCAAAAGCCGGTTACCCCCACTAACATCCTCATATTCCTCCTCCTCATCTGCCAATTTAAAAATATACATAAGATTTGGAAACAAGAGGTATATCTAATAATAAACTAGTGGTCTCATACCATGCACAAACAAATTACAATGCATAAAAATGCCAAGAAGAAATCAATTGAAATAAAGATAACTAGTGAGATCCAACCCAGAGAAACTATCACTCTGCATGTTGCATTTTTTAATTGTGTATTAGACTTCATACTGTCTTCTATTCTTTCAACTACCACTGAAGTAAACAATGTAATCTCATGATTAAGCCACACCAAGCATGTCCTTCATATACACCTCAGGAAGCATGAAAGTGAAACAAGTAAATTTGAGATCTATACAGGACTTTCAGATAATTATTCTTTGCACAATTACCCATAATTGCAACCTTTTGATGGCCAGCACACAGAATTCTAGCATCCATGCAAAAAAATTATAAATTTTACTCTAAACCTAGTCTTCCTTCCTCTACTCATTCGCACTCACTAATTTAAACTTCATGCCTACCATCAAGCTAACAAGAAAGTAGCACAATATACTAAGATAACGTTAACTTTTTTCACACTTCATGCAACCAACTTACCTTCATCCCGACCATCCTTCGAACCACTACCAGACTCGTAACCACCCATTTATAATAACAACAGCTCTGCACAACAATAACAGTAACAGTGAAACACATTATTAGGGAAAGGCATGGTTTTAAAACATTTTTTCTTTGAATCTAAAATGAGAATTAAAAAGCAGTTAAACAGACTCCATAGAGTTAAATATTTCAAATTTCTCTAATTTGAGGGCAAACAACAATCAATTCTCCAATAATCAAACCCTAGAAAGAACATAACTTAACTAAAGCAATAAGACAGCATTCTTTTAGATGGTAACACTTTGAGAGAAGAAGATTCTATCTGAGCGTTAACTACCAAGCCAATTTGAAACCCCAACCTACAAATGCAACACTACTAGTCTGAAATCACTCTTGAGAGTCTAGAAGCAAACAAGATATAGAGAACGAGGAGGGCAGAGATCTTTCTCTTTCTCTGTCCAACCTCGGCTCCGGCTAATTAGTGTCCAACATTGATTAGTCTTAAATCGATAATTAAAATTTTGATGTATATAATCAAAACCACTCGACCCATCTCATCCACTTAAAAATTCGGGTAAAAGTTACTTATTCTACCATCTAGAGTATAAAGTAAAAACTAAACCCTAGCTAAAACGCCAATTTTCAATCAGAAATAAAATTCAAAAAAAAAAGGAATTTTATCCTACTGAAATTGTACCTGAAACCCTAAACTGCGAAATGCAAGAAAACAAAATGGGCGGAAATTGCGACGTTAATACAAATAAAGAAAAAAAAGTTCCAAAGAACCTGTAAGATTACAAAGATTTCTTCATTCCAAATGCACACAAAGAAATTCTTGTATGGGAATAGCTGAGTATAATATACAAATAACTAATTGAAGAAGACGACGACGACGACGAAAGAGATGACGTGAGAGTAGTGAGGTTGCAGAGATAGAGTGGGAATTTTTGGGTGAATATGTAGAGGGATGAAACGACACGCCGGCGAATTCGATGGCAGTGGAAACAGCGGTACCGTTTTCAAAGAAGCGAAGAAGTTCTCCTACTCGTCCTGGTTATTGGTTTAAAGGAAGGCCAACTTATAGAGGGCACATTACCATTTCGTCCTTAATATTTGACCTAATTACTAATTAGTCTGGGTCTCATGTACCATTTTAGTAACACTTTTGTCTCTATTAGATAGTCCTAGCAAAATGGGCAGGTGGGCCGGGTACGGACCTGGTCCAAAACAAGTTGATTCTAAATAGGTCTAAAATATTATACTCGAACCCTATCCTATGCAGGTACGAGTGGATTCGTGGGTACCTATTACTGTCCACTTAACAAATACCTAAGGCTCCGTTTGGTTCATAATTCTATAGTTTTTAGATAATCTTTGAAAAAAGTTAAATTGAGGGTATTACAATGTAGGATTTGGAAATTACAAAAATATCCCCTATGTTTGTTTTTTACTAAACCCCCTATAAAAAATATTAAAAGTTGACAAAAACACCCCCAATCCACCCATTAATACGGACAGCTGGCCACCACCGCCGGAGGGTGGCCGGAGGTTTTTTTGCAATTTCTAAAAAAAATTTAGGGTGTTTAGTTAAATTAACAAATTTAGGAGGTTTAAAAGAAATTGAAAAATATAGAATAATATTTTGGGAATAACGACATTTTACTGTTTAACTTTTTTGGGAATACTAATATATTATTCCCAAAAGTGAAACAAACAAAGCCTAAATTTCTCTCTTCTCTTCTATTGTAATTTCTCTCTTCTTCTTCTTTTCTCTCATTCGTTCTTCTCTCTTCTTCTTCTCTTATTCTCTTTCCATTTTCTTTATTACTCATCACCAATAGCTACAAGTGCCGCCATGAGAGCATCGCTACTACCAAATCTAGTCGGTAGTTGCCAATTTTTTGGTTTGATTTGAATTTTGCTGGCTATTTGAGTGTGTGGGGTTGAACTGAGATGGGATTGGGACGAATGGTGGCCATGATCGACTTTGAATGACACTTCACTATGGCTTTAACGGTGAAGAATCTTGGCCACTCATGGCTTGGCAGCTTGCCTCACCCGTCTTCATGGCTACTGTGTGGAAGTGATGAGGAATAACAAAAATTTGGTGATTAAAGGAGATAATAACAAATTATTTTATGTGGAGAATCGTGAAGAAATAATAGGGAGAAAATATGAGTGATGATGATAAGAAAGATAGCAAAATTTTGGATGGAAGCATGGAGAGAATGGCTAGGAGGAAGATAATCTAGGTGTATTGGGTTTGATGAATCCATTCATATGAAAACTTTGAACGTCAATGTATAGCTATGAGTAGATGCCCTAGAGCCATCAATTATTGTGGAATTGACTCTTGTAATAATGTTCATAATCAATAATAAAGGCATTTTATTCTATATCGCGTATCATTATTATTGCAATATGTATTGATATGCCTTAGAATGGTAGAACCGTGACGAGGGTATCAAGTGTTTCAAATCTGACAATGAGAACCCTATGAGCACATAGGTGGCCATTCTAGAAACGTCCGTAGCCCAGTATTATTCTGAGTAAGGGCACAGATATACGGTAAGGCTATCATAGTGTTGAACGACCCTGTCGAAAGGCAGTGACTGATCTCACTTGTCAAGGTTGTTTGGTGACAACTTGTGCAACACATGGGTGTTTGTTGTAGGCGTTACCCACAAAGTTCACTGGACTAACCCACCAGAGGATTCCATATGGATGGTAACCCCAGTGTCTATGGAACAAATCCTCTAACGAATGGTGGTGCATGTGATCCTTAGACTTGAGATCACCGGAGCGCCTTGTGCACCGATTGGTACTTTGACACTAGCCTAACGCAGTTCTATTCAGAGCTTTCAGTACGGTGGTGATTGGCTATATCAAGGATGTATCAAGACTATGGTGGATTAACAGAGGATTCATCACTCCCGGGTACGGGAGAAGTTATCTCAGACGCAATTCAATGGCAAGACACTAAAACTGTGGCCACAGTGATTGAGTTGTTGCTCTATCCAGATTATAATACGGGTCTTGGTCCAGAAACTGAATATATAATCGAGAGTAACCGAAGGTGACACTATTTCTATGCCTTCGTCTCGTCGAGATAACGTATGATGAAAGGATCGTATTGTACGGTAACTATTCGTTGACAGGTAGCTACTTTGCTGAATCCGAATCTATCGGGTGGCCATGATCCTTGCTAGGGGCCAATCTTGTTCTGTATTAGTGAGACGATTAATTGGTGTTAATTTGATACTTACACTACCGTATAGATGGGAGCCTATGGGTCACACACTAGAAGATAATTTAAGAGCAAGAAAAAAAGGGCGTTTTCGCTTTTTGGGCGAAGGGGTATTTTGGTAATTTCACAGTGCAATTAAATTTGCTGAGGTCTAGCCTTTTTTATTTAATTTGTTAAAAATTAAAATAATGAAATTTTTGTTAATGTGTGTTCGCACATATTTAATTAATCATCATTATTGTTAAATGTTATTAAATATAATTGATTTTATTGATAATGATGAATTAAATTAAAATATCTAATTGGGAGTGTTTGGCAAATTTGGGGGTGTTTGGGTTGTAGCCCAAGCCCATTCCATATGGGAATAGGCAACTAAATAAGACTATATAAGGAAAAAGGTTTTTGTTGAAAAAGTAAGTGTGTGTTATTTTTTCATTCTTTAATTTTGAAAAGAAAACCTCCAGCCAAAACTCTCCACGCCACTTTTACTGTTCCATTGAAAACAAACACTTTGTTTTTCTTCTTGATTTCTTAAGGCCAAGGAGGATCTAGCAAATCCCTCCTTGATTCTTGGTGGTTGTCTTCGTGTGGACTTCTTGGTTCGATCCTACACTTGGATCGGTAGCAAACACATTCAGAGACAACATTGGGGGAGCCTCCAAACGTGGGTATGAATCTAAACTTTGGATTTTTTTCTGCAGATTCTTATAAATATAAACTGTAACTTTCTATGCCCTATTTTTGGGTCTAAGGAACGATCCATGGTTGTAAATTTTTGTTTTTCCGCTGCGCAACCGGTCGTTTCCTAACTAGCTGCTTTCTACTCATATACTCATAAAATATACAAATAAAAATACAAGTATGATAACATAAATAGTTGGGCCCAATTTTTCCTTTTTTAAATATATACATTCTTTATACAAAGTTAGTATCATCTACAAAATCTCAAAAACATGGTGGATAGTGTCGCTATTCCTCCTCGCTTGCCGACGTCTATCCGACCGCAACCTCACCTAGATCCTGCAAAAACATAGAAAAAACAACGGGGTGAGCATAATAATGTTCAGTAAGTAAACCTTCTACTCCTCTATCCCGTAACTCTCTCTCTTTAATTCTTTCCTTACAATTGCTCTATTCTCATTTACTCTCTTTTACAATTCTCTCTATTTTATCTTTCTATTTCTCTTCTTATAACTCTTTTCTACTAACTCTCTCTTGTATGTCACGGCCTCATCTTACCGGAGGCACGGCCGGACTCGCTCCCGCTCTCCATGACTCTACTCATTCTCAGCCGATCGGACTCAGTTATGCATGGATTCGAAACCCTTGGCCATGTGAGTGTATATTCTCTCTCTCGGGTACTCTCGGGTATAGCCCTCATCCGCATGCACTCTTATGGGCCACGCCACTTTCTCTCTCTATCTCAGGCCGCTCTCTCTTGCGGCGTACATACGGGAAAACTCTACCATTACTCACGAGTTCCCCATCGCACAACCTACTCTAGTCTTTCTTTAGCACTACTCTCTCTTTATTCTCTAGTGCTCATTCTCTCTTTCTCTTTACTCTTAGAGTAGTTACTTCTCAAAATTCTCTACTCTTTCTCAAGCTACTTCTCCAATGCCAAATTAATGCCTGAATGCTCATGCTCATAATGCACTCATGAAATGCAAGTATGACATGTAGCAATAATTAAGGTTCTCTACTCTTACTTATGCCTCTCTTAAGCATTTCATCAAACAACTCGTGCATACAAAAACTCTACTTTAACTATATCTCTTCTCTTCCTTTAATCATCCAAAATGGAGAAAACTCCCTCATACTCTCTAAGTTTCTGTCAGGAAAAACATCCCATGGGTTTGCTTAAAACTCCTTCCAACTTCAATCAAACTCACTCATCATCATGCAATCAACACACTTCTCATAACTCAATTATATTCAATATCAACATAGATAATACTCATAACATCTCAATCTCTCAACAAGCATATACATACATGCATAAGAAATCTTTACTCAAAAGAGTTCTTAAAACTTAACTTGGTTGGATTTACTTACCTTGTAAGTGACTCCACTAGCACTTCTTTTCCTTTGGTAGATAGTCTTTTCTCTACAACTTTAACCAACAATACTATAAGACTTCAACATATTATAAATAAATTCACATCTAAAGCAAGAATCCTTACCTTAGATGCTTGAGATTAACTTTCTACCAAAACTACTCAAAAACCCTCTAAAATCCTTGAAAAATTGAATGAAAGTTAGAGAAAATGGTGAAAGGGAATGGCGGTGGAAGAAGAAGAATGAAGGGTTTGTTAAACTTAACCCCTTTAGCTCATATTATAACCACTCTTTCCCATTTTGCCCCTGCTCTTCCTTGGAAATTCCATCTTTGTCCTTTAATTCATTACAATCACACCCCCAACTCTAATGCATTCTCCATGAAATTTTCTTACATTTCACTCCCTACTTTTCCTACTAATTAGGGGTAGAATGGTCATTTTGCCCCTATGGAAAATTCTCTAGAAACTTCACCCAACTTTTCAGCTGACTTTTAGCCGCAGTAAAGACTTTTATGTCGCCCCGGCGAAGAAATCCCAAGCCTACGTCGCCGCGGCGAAGACTATTCCTCGCCCCGACAAAGACTGTAACCTCAAAATTCGCCAAGTCTTAACCCAATTCAAGGCAAACACTCAACCAAACCAAAACACTCATTCAACTAAAGATCAACCAAACATTATTAACAACATGTAAACTCAATTCAGGGCAAATCAATGAACATTTAGGCAATAAAACATACTTTAACTACGTACCTCAAGT